ACTAGGGGAGCTATCATGATCTTTACTTTAGAATACTGATCCAAAAATTTAGTAACTCCTTTGGAACAGGTCTCAGGCTACGTCCACACGAAGCCAGAGCTTTCCCTATCCGATCTTTTTTTCCCCCCTCATCTCAAGAAATATCTGCGTCCACACGAAAATACGATATAAAATGTATGCGCATACAGCTAAACGCGTCTCCGTGTGGACGGGGTCTCAAACTCAATTCCTGGAGGGCCACAGCTCTGCGGAGTTGAGCTTCAACAGCTCCAAGTTTCTAGTGATCCTGAAGAGCTTGATTAGCTGGATCAGGTGCGTTTGATTAGAGTTGGAGCTAAACTGTGCAGAGCTGTGGGCCTCCAGGAATTGAGTTTGAGACCAATGCTTTAGAATGATGTAGTAACACCTGAATAACTACTATCCAATACTTTACAAAACCCTCAAAAGCTTACAATGATTTCAGTCATTACTAGAGAATTAATCATGTTATTCACTTTAGAATACTGATCCAAATATTAGTAATTCCTTCTGAAGAATTTGGTAATATTTGACTCATTACTAGTGGGTTACCATGACCTTCACTTTAGAATTAATTATACATTATGCATTATTCATATTAATTATGAACCTGTTCTTAGTAGTTCTTGGGGAGGTATGAAAAAATAGTAGTTACTGATTAGCTAATAGTGAACTACCACATTCGACTAAGCACTATTACTTACTAATTCATTAATCAGTTATTGATAGATACTAGTTACTAGAGTGCTTATATTGCGTTACTCATGTGCTCTTGTGTAGTTATTCATTAATGATGGAACAGTATTCTAAAGTGTTACCGGATAATTTCAGTCATCAGCAGTTCTGACTGTTTTATGAATACTGTGAATTTGAACACTACTCACATACTGTTTTTCGCCTACTTTACAGGAAAGTATGCATATTCAGATGCAGCCACTGTCTTTATGAATGAATCATTCAGCTGATTCTTTTAAAACACTGATTCATTCATAAATGAAATACTGCCACTGTGTGTTGCTTGGAAACACAAGAACAGTTTGTTCTGCTGATTTTTTATTTTTATTTTTTTTGCTGTCTAAAATAGATCTAAGTGATTTTTTTTTTTCAATCTGAAATACAATTCCTAACTTTTTTTTCACTAAATCAAGACTTCTAGAGAATATTCCATGATGGTGTCATTTTTTCGTTTAGTTACAAAGTTACAATTATGTCTTTATTTAGTTATAATTCTGAATATTATTATCAAATATGTACTCCCTTATTCTTTGTTTGCATCTAATAAGATGACATGGAATCTCCTCTTGACATTCTTAGTGATTCCTTTTCTTGTCAAAGATGGGGGATGGAAAACATACATGTAACACCCACACCATCCCCCTCACCAAGCACCAGCACAAAGCTAGAAGTCATCTGACATGTCTGTCTACTCAGGGGCCACAAACCAGATTGGCCATTTGGAGATGTGGACCAGAGATAGTGAACAGATATCACTAGAGATGGTATCACACCACCTGTGTCCTGCTGGTCCAGTTGCCTGAGGTGAAGGACTGAGTAATACTGTTATTACACGGGTGGAGAAGACCAGGAGGTGAATGGCAGGACTGCTTAATGACCTGCAGTTCTGCTGCTGATGACTCAACACACTCCCTCAGCCAGTCAATGAACAGTGCTGGAGTAATGAGGCAGAGGAAGGTGAGGAGTTATTGGAGGTGAGAGGTAAGGGCTGGGGGAGGGGTAGAGGTGGCCAATGTACTGGAATAGCCTACACACACATACTGATGGAAATGGAAAAATATTCGGCTCTGAGAACATGTGCCCATATCTGTGCATTAAAAAGTCTTGTATTGGGTGCATCTGGTTGTGGACACATTCATTTGTGTTTTGATGATTTCCTGTGTTTATCCGCTTTTTTTTGCCACAGCTGCTGATATTCCGATATTATTATATGCGGTAGTTTTGCACATTTCTTTCCATGTTCATACTATAAGTCAGTTTGATTTGAACCTTGTGCCTGCCAAAGCAATATTGGACAGCTTTTGGTCACAAATCACTGTCTGCTTTATAGAATTATAAAATATTCAGGGTTCAATTGAAAGTTATACCTAATTAACAGCATTAATGGCATAATGTTTTTTTTTTTACAAACAAACAAATACATAAAAAGGATTTAATAGCAAAAATGTGAAGCTTGCAATTTGATGTAAACTTGGATATAACTTTACACAATAAAAAGCCAACAAGTCATTTTTCACACTAAAACCATGGTAACATGCATATACAGTTGTATACACCTTGTGTCTTCCATTGTAAGTACCTCACTGTGAGCAATTTTTTATTTTATTTTTTTATTTTTTTAAGAAAAAAACGAAAATTTTTAGTGTAAAAATGTATTGTTGTAGACAACATTATGCCACAAGTGCTGTCAACGGAGCTTAACTTACGGAACCCGGATTCTCTATTTTGGAAGACCAATATGCACATATTCCTATTTTTATTCTCATTTATATTTCTGAACTCTGTGAATTGATATCCTTATTAACATGTGCTGCACTGTGTTGTCACTGACCTTAGCGCACTAATACATTATCTGGTAGTCCAACATTTTTAACTCAGAGACACATGCACACATCTAATTAATGAGGGTTTGTATGGCTGCGACTGTCCAGACAAAGATTTAATCCAACTGTGATACTGTTTGTCCAGAGCTGTGTCTGTTTAAGTTGTCCTGCAATGTCATCTTTCAGTCTTGGACTGATGGGCACTAGCAGATACACACACATACACATAATTAAAGAGCATGCTAACCGATTTCCATTTAATTAATGACCAAGCAATTCATGCAGTCTGATTTTATGTAACAAACTCTAGTGATAGATATACTCACATATGTTTTTTTATGTTTTGAAATGTATCTCATTTCACACACATATAATTCTTCCACTTCCCCCCATTAAGATATTACACTGTGGATGTGACCCTTTTGAAATATCCCAATCAGAGGTCTCTGTAGGGGTCTCTGTGTAAACCGCAATGCTTCTTTCTTTATGCTCAGGGGACAGCGAGACCTCACTTCAAGGGTTCAGGCTCCACACTGTGTGTTACTCGCTCAGCTCAGGGGAAGAATAATAATGTCCTCCACCAGATAAGTTCCATGACAATCCCTTTAAGTTCTTTTCAACATGCCATAGCTGATTGGTCTTTCTATAAATGACCTTTCTATAAAATACTTTAGAAGCTGATCAGAGATCAGTTGCTGCATGTTGTAGTCTGTGATGATAAAGGCATGGGAAGCTGATATGGGAACAGTTATTAAAAGCACACAGCACACTCGGGCCTCCAGGAATTCACCTATGCCTGCTTCTGTCCTTTTGTTTGGTCCATAAAAGAGTTTTCTGGAGTTCAGTAAGGTTGAGAGTCCAACTCGTGTCCAGCTAGTTGAGAGTTTAAGAATGTAATATAGGCAGAGTAATTAATTATAGCTTGGTTATTTACACTAGTGGCAATAAAATATTGCCATTGTTTACTGAGGGACTGAAAGTTAGCTTATATGAGGGTGTCAACAAGTGAATTGTTTTCAACCTTTTTTTTTTAAATAATCGTTTGAGCAGTTTTTAATCATTTTTATTATTAAAATTATCACAAATTGATAATAGTTCCTTATATTTGTTGTACTGTTTTGCCACCAAAAAAAAATGTCACTAATGTCACTACCTGCAAGATAGCACAACCCAACTTTTGTCAGTTCAAAACATTAAAAAAGACAAACAGGATGGAAACACATAAGAAAATTTAAATGATTGGCCAATTAAAGCAATATTCCAAAAACGTTCCCTTTATTTCGAGAAAGAAAAAGATAAAAGTAAACCCATCCTGTAAAACAGGATTCTCACCTGTCCAGAGGGGGGCGTCAGGAGGAGTGTCAATGTTTAAGCTGCAAACAATTGCAAATAATAACCTAAATAATCGTTCAAACAGCAGTCATCGAGTCTGATTTGAGCAATCAAGAATTAGGTGAAGAAACTGGATGTTGCTCATCAAAACTGTATTTGTTTAGTCCGCAACTTGTTCCTCAGTCACCTTTGACCGCTCGCCGCCTCTCAGATTCGCTGGCCTTTGTCCTGCTGCCCCGTGAAATCCAGAGAGTGCTGAAGCCCTCAGATGTCGTTGTTCTTGCGCGGATTACAGAGAGGCAGATGGACAGCGGGTCGTGGCCTGCGCAAATCCGCCCTCCCCCGTGCTTTTGTCGGGAATAAGAGTGGATTTATCAAAGCACTCCCTCTATGCCCTTCTCATGCTTCAAACACGCTGCCGTCGCAACAACGATTTATATTAATCATAAATAATATAGCCTATGACAGCTCCTCCTGCCATATCACTAACTGGGACAGGTTTTATATTTTAATTTCCAAATATTTGAATAGAATAAAATCTGGAAAATTGATCATATCATTCGCCTATCATTACCAGGCTACTGACTAAGCTTGGTAGCCTAATATATGATCTTGATCGGGTGGACGAGAATCGGTTCTTCAGAACCGGTTCTATTTTAGCCTACCAGTATAATCCCATTCCCGAACAAAAGATTTTCTCTTCAGTGAATCAATGGTATTTTATAATGAATTTATAAATGATGTTATCACTTTTGTTTAATATTGCTATTCAATATATAGTTGGTAACAATTGTTTAATTACATGCATGCATTAATTGCATGTATTTCTGATTGGTTATAGTTGTTGAAATCTGAAATGATCATCATTTGACAACAGACTGCTGAGGACAGTAGGCTTCATGCAATCTGTCTTTTTCAAAGTATTTTTGCCTCAAAGTACTGAAATAATCATTACAGTAACAAGAATTGTTCAAAGGAATTAGAATCGGAACTAGAAACGTGAAATTCCTTACGATTCCTTTGAACTCAAGACGCTTTACCTGTTGTTGTGACGTAGACCACGGGGCGGGGCACACTAGGATTTGACTGAAGCCTCTGTTGCCTATTAGAGATTATTCAGGCGGCTGGAAAGCGAATTCACGCTTTTGGCTTTCTTTCTTAGGCTTGTACATTTGACTTTCTGTTGTATATGTTTTTGAAATCTCACACTGGACATATTCAGATATCATTTACTCGGACAGGAATATCGGATGGTCAAACGGGACAATTGAATTTGTGTTCAGCACGGGCTGGAGGATTTAAACGACAGGCTACAAGCGCGTCTTCTGCTTTAAGCTTCTGACAGCGAATGTATTACACATTGGATTCAACTTCGGGAAAGTTTAACATTTGCTCGGAAGCAAGCAGATTTGGTTTCTACCCATATTGTGGGATGCGCTGAATTGCGCTGGAGAATATTTCGAGACTCAAAGAAAGAGAACACCGTGAACGTTCTGAATTTCTGTTCTATTGTCAAATACAAGAATATGCTGACTTTAAATTAATTTAATAGATATAAGCATCGATATTTCATATCTTAACTATTTAATCCCCTTAAAATCTGCGTGGCCAAATCTACAACATTCTTGCTATAATGACCTGGAGCTGAGACTGGAAATAAAGGACTGTCTCCGAATTTGTAGAAGAGCGGTTCGGGTTGTCGGAACATGAAGTCAGTTACCGGTCTGTTTGTTGTAAATGTGTTGCTGTGTTCAACGATCTCGTCCTGGAGCGCGACTGCCAACAGCTATGGAGGTGAGTTCGGCTCAAATGATGAAAGAGAAACTGATAGCTAGCCTATTAGAATGACACCTCTCACTGAAATGTTTGAAACACAGAGTAGCAATACTCAAATAAAATCGGTTTTAAAAAGTAAAATAAGAAATAAAGTGTTTTTTGACACTTTTGGTGTGCGAACTTTTGCATTTTTCGAAACAGCGAAAAGTCTATAGGCGGGAGGCAGGTGACAACCTGTGCGCGCACACTTCCTAATCCCCATAGGATTAAAACACGTGACAGGAATAGTTTGGTTCGTGGAAATTGTCGATTCTGTATCGTTTTTGTTTGGTGTTTTGTGTAATCATAAACATTCTCTTTAGTGTTTCTATGTACTTTTCTTTCGACGAGTCCTATAGGCTACTTTATGATTCGGGTATGATAGATCGATAGATAGAAAGACAGACACATAGATAGATAGATAGATAGATACTTGATACCGTGTGCAGCCAGACAATAATAACACTATACAGTATGCAGAAGTAGCCTAGGCTACTACACATGTATTGCAATAAATATAGCTATGACATTAGCAGGTGTACATTATAAACGAGATACGCAATTTACTCAATGAACACATTATATATTACAGCAATTAGTAGGCCTATGTTCCTATATTTGTCAAGAAAACGTTTAATAAAATGCTGTGTATGCCTAATTTCAAAGGAGAAATAAATATGTATATAAATATGTGTGTGTCAACATTCATGGGGGCAGTCATGTTTCCTCCAACTTTGTTTTTCTGGATTTGTAAATGTGAATGATGTGTTTACACTCGTGTTTGCCTTATTTTGCAGAGACTCTCTCACTTTCTCAGCAGTATAGTTCGCTCAACGTGCAGGTAGTCAGACTTGCACATTTATATGTAGACTACCTTGAAACAGCAGTTGACAGTTTGGGGCAGACTGCATAATGCATAGTAGATAGTGATTTGCTCTTTCCATAGGCATGATGGTGCTGAGGTTACGTGAAATGCCACTCTGAAGGAAGGACAGAAGAAAATGTACTTAAAAACACTACAGCACCTTGATCATCCCTCCTCACCTGTGCACTGTTTAGATACTGTTGTCCACTCACTGGCCCATTTTAAGCTCTCAGTACCACTGTAGAAGTGCTTTTTGCATTAAGCATATTCTGTCCAAAGTTATTTCTGCCAGATCAATGTCATTTAGAAGTGTTTTATGCACGAAGGGTTTCATACACTTACAGTTGTGCTGTTGTACTGAGTATCCTCACATCACAATACTCTGGTCAGGAATGCTGTGAAAACAGGAAAGCCGGGTGATGTTATACTAAATATCAGGAACGTCTTTTGACCAATGCAATAAAAGCACTGCTGTATGAAATGTATTATACTGTGTGACCAGCAATGAGAACATTTTTATGTTTGCAGACTGCAGTCTTTTATTTGTTTGGCTGCTGTAGAGAGAGTTATATGGGAGGCCATGATAATAATACTTAGCTTTCACATTCCTGTGATTTTCAAAATGTGTTATACTCTAGTGCAGTCCATGTGCGTCTGGCTTCACTGCCTGATTGTTTGAAGAAAAATCCTTGGCTCATATGGGTACCCTCGAATAGTGTTGTTTCTAAGACTGCTCACATGAAAATGATTAGGAGCTGAAACACAATGGTCACCATTTCACACATTAATGTGGCATTGTGAAGCGTGACTGAATCAAAATCTCCTGTTTTGGAAACAAGCTTTAGACAATGACGGACAATTTGTAGAATTCAGGATTTCCATTTTAAAGTTCAGGACTGGTTGTTTGGTGATGTGGAATGAGCATATTCATGCTGGCTTCATGTCTCAAAAAATCTCAAAACAAACATCAGAACAAAGTAGTTTGAAATATAAAATGGAATGCAGTAAGAAACATGGAGAAATAGCGGTAATAAATAAAGGAATGTAAAAGTAGACAGGTTTAATAAGGTGAATCTTGTGCCTTGGTTTCGGATATTTCACTTCCACCTACACATGGTCATGACTTTTGCATTCTTCTCACAGCTCACTCCTACAGTGTTATATGGTCTCCTGTGCATCAGCAGAAAACCTCACAGACGTTTTGTGCTGCATTCCTAACAAAGAGGCAATGGGCTTTCTGTGTTAAATGTCATAGCTAACGTAAGCAGACTGATGAGAGCTGTATTAATTTTCATGGTATAACAATTTAACTTTGTGTTAAGAATTTGTAATGGGAGGATGTATAGTGCAGTTTTTTGTGTCCAGCATTTAGCCAAATTCTTGACCTTTTGCTCAGGCCTGCATAAATAAACCAAATATTTTCTGTGACAGAAGGTGCACAGTTTGTATGATCCTGTTCATGATCTGTTTTGCTGATGTTAATGTTTTATAGCTGTCTGAGAAGGGGCTCTCTTGGGAATTCCTCTGATTTAATTTAATGTCTTTAGAAACACTTTAAAGTGCAGTGTTGATTAGATTATCTTTTTTCAAGGGTATATTCATGTAAATGTAATATAATAAAAACAGCAAAACAGGCTAATAGTACCCAAGGTCTAATGAAGGTCCTTCCAGGCGTTGGAGGGTAAGACCAGCGTGGCAGACAGCTTGGGTCAAATGTCAGAGGTCACGCTTCCTTTTTGAATAGGTTGTCTAGTCTGTTTAGGGATACTTTACTTAAGCTTTTTTGTCTTTTTCTTACACTTTTAATCCCAGTTTCTTCTCAGTTTATTAAATCCATGTTACAAAATGACTTTATGAACTGATTAATGGTCAGATGGATTACCTAACAACCCAGACTGACAATTTCAGCCAAGACAACACAAATCCACAACCTCGTCCCAACTGACTCTCAGACAAGGAGGATAAATCTGTCACTGAGAGAGCCAAAATGGCATGTCAGTCTATGTTTGCCGTCTGTTTGCTTGACCTGGAGTCGTTTGTAATGATGGTAAAATGGTGTGAAGTCACATTTGATGCGTGCCTGTGTTTTGTTTTTTGCACATCTCTTCTCAGAAACTTATCCAGATTTTCCAGCTATAAAGCATTCTAAGTTTTTAGTCTTTCGTTATATAAAAACATGACTTTATTCGGAATCTCACTGCTTGAAATATGAATTTTCAGATTTTTCGATATCGATTTTTACTTTAAATTCGTGTTTAGTAGTTTTATAGCATTCAAAGTCTGACCTTTTCAGTTAAAGGTACATTCTGTAGTTTGGCAATAATTTAAAAGGTTTTACACATTGAAGGGGTCATGACATGGATATTTTTTTTACTATTTTAATATGTTCCTTGAGGTTCACTTATAATGTTAATAAAGGTTTTTGCACAAACAAGTTTCTAAGGGGCACTTTATGACTGGCTAATGTCATTGCATAGGAAATAGTATGACCACATGCTATGCAGTGTTTTGAAGACATTATCTATATAAAACTGTAATTTACAGACAAAGCATTATGAAATTATATGCTTATGTTTTGCGATACAGCTGTTGTCAGTTGGCTGCTTCATCTTTCAACAAAAGTTTCTTTGCAAACTCCATTACACTGCCTTGCAAGCTGCTAGTGGGCAGGGCCTGTGGTGCAATGATGTGATGATGGCAGTCAGATGCAAATGTATTTGCCCGTGATTTCACAAATCCCACAATATTCAAACAAGCTGTTTTTAGAGCATAGTTAAATAAATGATTTGTTTATAATGACGAGCACGTTTTAAGCTATGAGGCAAATTTGATTTCTCATGTCATGACCCCTTAAAGAAATATGTTTTAGACAGTGGAACACACTTACTCTCATGCTTTACCAGTGGAGACAATGCGAGAATCAGTACCTGTAAGGCCGAAGAAGTAGTAAAGGTCTGAGGCCAGATGACAGAAAGACAGACAAAAAAAGAATGAGCGTAAACATACAAGTTTGAAAGATTTGAAAACATTCCGAGTAGTGATGTCAAAGTTCACTCTAAAAAAAATCTGTAAAAATGGGGCACAATATACTGTATAATTTGAAGGTATTTTTCCATATTTATTGTTTACAGTTTTATTTTACCAGTATTTTGAATTTTACACTTAATTGCATTGTGTTTTAGAGTTAACAGAAATGTCCGTAAAATTAATGGATAATGTTGTGTGTAATGAGATTTATTTTTTACAGTGTTACTTCTTATTTGTTGGACTGGTAAAGCAATTAATTATTGTGTAAAACTCCCTAATCTCAGTGTAATTTACATAACTCCCAGAGATGACCATGCTGGTCTTCGTTAAATAAGTGCAGCATCTAATTGTGGTATCGCTACTTAAAGTACACAAAGTACAGTGATGCTAATGCGAGCTAAATAACTTCTGAATACATATTTAAACAAATACAGAGTTCTGGCATGAAACTTCAGATGGCGCAGTCCGATAGGTCTAGCTCAATCTGACCCGGCGACAACATTGTCACATGGCAGCTGATTGGTTCTCTCCTGTATCGGTAGCCAATGAGCTTACTGTGCAATATAACTCAATCAAATCAATCAAATACCTGGCTTTTGTTTGCTGTAACAGTTTGCAGCGCACTTCAGAAACCCTCCACCTTCCCCAGCTCCACCTGTATAGATCTGCTACAGGGTGATCATGTATGCTATATGGGGGTTTATTCATGTTATATGTGCAGCAGCAGTATTTCTTACATGCTTACCGCAGCATGTTGTGGATGTATTGGCAGTAGCAAGTCTCGGTATCTATCAGATCTATTCCGCCAAGACCAAATACATTAACATGGTCATGTACATTACCATGCCAATCCCTCCGAGATTTGTCATGACAGAAATATAATTATGACAGTGAAAGCTATTGAATGCTCATTTTTGCTTATAAATACACTGTTTGCTCATTATTGTCATAGCTCCAGTGCCTTTTACTAAAATGTATGACGCACACATCCTACACAAAGGCTCACACCCATAAGACTCACGCCATCATATAGTACTTCCAATCCATTAGTGCTCAAGCTTAACAATCAGATTAACTTTCTGGTACA